TATATATATATATATATATATATATAAAGAGGAAAAATAAAAAATCAACTGACTTCAAAAAATCCACAACATTTAAGGAAGACGGCCAACACTCTCATAAAACATGAAATAAAATTTCAAATGAAAACAATAAAAAATTGCAAGGGAATTGTTATCTAATGCTAAATATGTGTATGATCATCACATTGTTAACTGTTAAGACTTTTGTTCGTCAAAAACTCTCTTCTTTACATTTGCTTATACTAATGCCGCCATGTCAGAAAATCCTTGTTATGGTCCTTGTGTCAGTTTACTGGACACAACAGAGCAGTTCCCTTGAGAGGCATTTACGTACACAGCACACAATTCTTATGTATTTACAAATCTCACACCTTAACTTTCATATTTACAGACATAACACTCAAATTTTTAATATTACATCAAACATAGCTCTACAACCACGTTTTAAAAGTCAAATTCACATTTTTCATACATAGGTAAAGCACCAAAATTCTGACTGAAAATATGAAAGTATAAGTGTGAGATATGTAAATACATAAGAATTGTATGCTATGTACTTAAATGTCCCTTTTCTTATCTCTAAAATGCCAAATATTGGGAGACGGCAACTTCATCTTTCAACTTCAAAAGGAGAATAGCTTGAAACATAAGTTACTATTCATATCTCTTATTATTTTCTCAAACTGAGGGGAGATTTCCATGGGGACTCTCGTCTATGAAAAAAAATGGCAACCTTCAATACTTATTCTGCCGAATAAAACCTTTCAAATATGCATATAAAACCATTAATTAAAACTAATTTTAATAAGAATGAGGGATAAATACCTGTTCCTTCGCCACCACTTTCACTGGCATGTAGAACAGTTTGTGGATAGCACGGAAGCTTTGATTCCATCATCTCAACTTCAACTGCAGCCTTGTCACAAAATTTGTCATTCTCCAAGTGCTTTTTAATCATGTCCTTTTGTATAGCACGTTTCTCATAACTACAGAGAAGGATACAAAGAAAGTAAAATTTCCTGATCTAGATGATAATGAAAATGTTTCAAAAATTCAAAAATAAATACTGCTTAATTAGGAAGTTGAATTTATGTAAAAAAAGCAATTTTTTAAACAGCAGGATGCCTTGTGACAAATAAACATTTGTTAAATAAATTGTTTAAAATAACTACTTTTTTGGATAAGAAATGACTAGAATAATTTTGAATTTTTTTGGGTGAGATTTTTTACCACTTCATGAGGACCTGAGCTGTACCACTCCTTGTTAACATCTCACTCTAATATCACCTTTACACCAATGGAAATCAAAATAATGATGAAAAAAAAAAATTCCTGATTCCTGATCCCAATTTGATGGCTTTGATGGCTTTCAGCTCAAGTACAATCCCTAACTTAGAGAATTGCACTATGGCCCTGCTGACTGAATTTTAGATAGAGAAAATGGGGAATGGATAATGTAAATAATGACGGTGGCTTAATATTAGCTCCAAGAGAGAGAAGATTCAACTGGAAGGTCTCGGGAATCATGCAGGAGAGAAATAATGTGGAGTTTATTTCTCAGTGATCGTGAATTATAAAAAGATTTTTCAATGTACCCATGTCCATGATCTCATTCTTGCCATTCCTCTTCTCTCACTTTAAGTGAACTTGAAATGGTTGTTTCCTTCATCTCCAATCCCTAAAAATGAGAACTGAAATAGGTTCTAAAGGGATAATTGCTGAGATCGATGAGGTGGATAAAGGAAACTTTAAGGGGGCCTTGGGATTCATGCAAAAAGAGAGAAGAAGAATGTGAATCAGGGTAATTATGACAATGAAAACAAGGAAGGAATGAGAAATTAAAAGAGAGGATGAGGGGAGCTAAAATTTTCAAGAGTTTATACAATTTTGTAGGAAGCTTAAAAAAAATATTTTGAAGCATATTCTGTATTAATGATTTTTTAAGCAACTAACTCAAAAAGTCAATAAGCCAAGTCCACGTTGGCTCATTGGCACATCCAGCTTAGCATTCAAGCCATTAATCAGCCCGTAATCAATCTAGTTCATGCGGTTCAATTATATCCCCAGAAGCAGCAAACCTAACATTGCAATGAGCATAGCAACTATTTCAAATTATATCAACATTACCCCCAATAATATTGGAGGCAGTCACCCTTCATCTAATTAAGATAAATAATTTAATGGCTACTGAGCAATAATTTGCAGCATATCGCTTGAAAAAAGTCAACATAGTTAAGATTTGAACCCCAGAAATTGTTGTTTATGGCAATAATAAGATTTATTAAGTAAAAAGTATAGATTTCTCCCCGTCATTCTATTAAAAAGCTAAGGGCTTGTTTGGCATCAATTTTATTCTTTGTTTTTATTTTTGTATTTTCTTTTGTTTAGAAAAAACATGTTAGTTTACTGTGTTTTCTACATGTTTTTTATTTTTTATTTCTAAAAAATAATTTACATATTTTTGAAAATAGTAAAAACAACTTTTAGGTATTTTAAGTGTTTTTTAAAAGTGATCATAGCTTAATAAATATGGAAAACATGTTTTATTTCAAATCAAAATGTAAAAAAGAATAATATAGAAACAAAATTTGAAACTAAAAAAAAAAGTAATCCAAATGGCCCCTTTAAAAAAAAAAAAGCGAAGAAAAAATAAAGATGAGTACAAGACTAAAAGTTTCTATCACTCATAACATATTCTTTGGAAGGAAACCATCGCTTGGCAACTAGCAACATATCCCCATCAACATGTTACAATAGATGCTGTCAACTTTATAGAAAATACGGCAGTAACAAAAAATTGGATATTGAAAATTTATTCTTGTCTAAAAATTGAGCTAAATACATGTTCCATGAGACAATCACCTAATTAAATTCACATGTAAATTGAACTCTCCCTTCTTTAAACAAATTATCATGATATAGTGGTCAGGATCATGTAGTATTTCCAAACTATTGTTTGTTTAAACCAATCAGATTGATCGCTTCCATCATCCATATCTTATATCTTTTTAGAAAGGACCAGAATATGCCCTTTTAATTCTCATACCATCTGGACAAAGTTGATTTGACATTCTTCAATTGTTTCACAGCAGTAAAGGCAAACGGATAGCTCTATTAAAATTTCACTACCATAACAACAACAAGCTACATATATTCTTTATCAACATTTTCACTACCATAAAAATAAAAAAATAAGAATAAAAAAGAGGAAAATGTAAGGGATTTGTCTACTGTGAGGTAGAGACTAAGGTCGCATTTGTTTGGGCGTTTCAGATTGAGTTCCGAACCGAACCACATATTATGCGCGTTTGAATCAAGTCTTCTCTAAACGTGTCCCCAACCGCGGCCCCATTTAGTCTAATTACGACCAATTGTTTTTTTAAAAAATAAAACTATATATATATATATATAGAGTCAAAATAAGTCGAACATGAACGACCAAAACTTTATTCGTGTTCGGCTCTTTTATATATCGAGCGCAAAAAAATTATTCGTGTTCGGTTGGTTTGCTTAGCGAACAAATCGAACACGAGCTATTAAACAAGCCGAACACAAGGCGTTTTGACAGCCCTAATCACAATGCATTTTTGGTGTTTCCTCATTACCATTCTAATGGGTGTGGTATTGTTGGAGGCTTATGGCTTGAAACTTGTTGAAGTTTTGGATGTTTTTTTCGGCAGAAAACAAGTTTATCATAGGTGTCGTTTAGTTCTAAGATTATGGTTTTTGATAATAAATAGTTGGGATAAATCTTATTTTATTTCTATTTTGTTGATTCCTAATTTATTTCAAAATAAAGTATGCTTAGAATGAAGGACCCTATAGATGCATTCAATGTAATTTTGATTACTTTATTGAAGTCAGATCATTTCTATAAGGTTTGAACTCGACCCAATGAATTCTCTAATTCAACCATTTCCTCTTCCCTGTTTCAATAAAATATCAAATTAATTTCATTGTTATGAGGTTGATTCAATAGTTTTTATACTATCAGATATTACTTAATTGTTGTAATTATCATTGGATTTATTCTAAATATATGTCCATTTTCGTAATTAAAATGATTTTTTTAATATCTAGCCTACACTTATTTAATAAATTAGTTTATAGACTTTAGTTTTGTATTTCTGCTCATTTGAGTATCACAATTCAAAAAGGATAATTATGTACACTGAAAATACCTATATTATCAACATAATATATACCGAGGGGTATTTCAATCATTAGACCACAGACAACACTTTCAGAACTGTATTTTTCAAACAAATCAATTATTTCTAAAACACCAGCTTCTGAACAGCAAATTTTTAACAACTGCTTTGAAATTGAGATTTCGTACAGCCACAACTGAAACAAACACACCCTAAAAAAGAATAAAAACATGAAACATGGAGGGTGTGAAACTTTGGAAGAAATCAACATAAACTTAAAAATGAATCTACTAGCAGCGACAATATGAAATTTCTAAATGATGAAACTTGTAATAAAAAAAAAAAAAACTAAATTTTACTAAATTTTCCATGATTCTCACTCCATGATTCTCACTCCTTTCTCTATGACAGCGAAATTAATAGCCCAAGAAATTTAATGTGAGATTATAGCCCAAGAAATGTAATGCAAGATTATAGCCCAAGAAATGTAACCATTTTAATATAGACTCCAAAATGAACTGCATAGACATTATGACAACTCTAGCACAGGAATTCGTAGAGAATATAAGTGCCATGCAGAAAATAAGCCATCAAGTTGTATGAATTTTTAATAAAATAATACCATTTAATTTAATATCTCATCAATGATGTGCTCAAAATATAAAATAAATGCACTTATATACCATAAAACCTGAAGTAATTAGCTGCAAAATGATGATTTGTGTATATATTAACCAATACATTTATAAAATACTAATTTATAAAGTAGGTAGGACATCTTGTCACAACCCAACCCAGGATTTGGAATTAACCAAAGTGGGTCAAAATGATCGGACAGTGGGAATTAGATTTTCTATATTCATTTTCTACAACTAGCTATTAACAAATGAAAGATTCACTAAATAAATTAAATTAAATCAGTATAATTAAATTTATCTCATTACAGGTTATCAGCATCTATAAATATTTTTTTTATCGCTCATCTTTTAGTCAATTAATTATACCTAAAAAGTTAGTTTAAGACAACAGTGAGCTAACTAAAACTAGTGAATACTCAGATTTCTAAACTACAGTAATACAAGGAAAAAAATAATAGGCATGTCAGCTAAACTTTTAACAAATTATGATAAAATATTTGATAATTTAAGAATATGACCAAAACGATAGGCCATGCTATTCAAAGGATTTATGTTAATAATATATCTATATTATTTATATCTATATAACCGTTACAGATGCACAGTCTAAAAATTGTATCATATAATGTACTTCAATATCAATATCTTTTTTCATTTATGTGAACGGGTATTTTAACGTTCCTCCGCAAGTACTATGAATGGGTGACTTCATCATAGCCAAGCATAAACATAAAATCATTATATGAAAATCATTAGTTACCGAGATAATTACTTTTTGCTCATTTGCAGAGCAGTCAATATACTTATATAATATTTAATACATATGATAATTTAAACAATGCGGAGCACACATCATTCCTACAATATAAACAAAAATTCAACAGAATTCAAAATCTTGAATTTGTAGTAATTTCAATATAACTAGTGATAATACTAGTAAGTAAATTTGGCCTAGAAGAAGCAAAATATTATCATAATATAAGCACATGAGTACTCAGCTCAAACACTGATGATTCTCTAGTCAAGAGTTCTCTTTACTGATCTCCAATGAAAACCTAAAGTCAAATGCATAAATAATCATTATTAATTTATTATATTGATGTATCTTATATTATAGTAGTAATTATGAAAACCTAAAGTCAAATGCATAAATAATCATTATTAATTTATTATATTGATGTATCTTATAGTAGTAATTTGTTTATTATTTTACTATTTAGTATCTTCATTTCGTGATATAAATTTAATTATTTCTCTCAAACAATTTAAATAAAATATTGACAGTAAAATGTTGGTCCTCCTAATTTAACGTCTAATCACTTTATGTAATTTATATATTTTCAATTAGGCTTTAAGATTTATATGCATATATTTATATTAGGCAACAATTTAATAATATTATTATTAATTTATTTGAATTCATTATATTAGTCAGTAGATTTAATAAACCAAAAAAACTTAAATAAATCAAATCTTAACATTACTTTGCTGCAGAAACCCTTTCTTCAATCTAGAAGTGAAACTTTTATAGCCCATGTAAAATGTAATTAAATTTAATATTTAAATAATAAACATAATATATATATAATTTATTTAAAAAGTTAATTAAATAAATTCACCTTTTAATCTAGGTCGAAAGCCCCTCTCACGCATGTGAACCCACTTCATCCTTCACGTGATCCGACTAGTGCGCGAAGGAAAACTTCCAAAGGTCTCCTTATTTTTCTTCCACTGGGCAAGTGCCCTGCTCTTCTTCCCCTTTCTTCTTCTTTGGCTAAATCGTCGAGATCGAGTATCATTGCATGGGCAGGAACTCCTGCACTTGCCTCCTCCTCTGCACGACAGCGGCGTCACCCTCGTCCTCGATATCGAGCACGAGCAGAAAGCCCTAGTCTGCGATCTTCTCGTTATTCAGCTTTGCAAGCGTACTCGAGGTTAGTTACCCCCCACTCGTCTCTACCCTAGCCGCTCGATCCACCTCTCCTTTGCATGGGTCAATCGTCCATATGATGTCGAAATTGCCTTGTCTTCCTCATACACATCGTTTTATAGAATGTAAGTGACCTTTGAGGTATCGATTGTCCACTTCCTCTCCCCCTCTTCGATTCCCTCGGGTATTTGAAACGAGACGTCACACAATATAAATTACTTTAACAAATTAATTGGTTTGTATTTCTCACTGCTAGCCCCTTTTCTTAATTCCAAGGGTTTTAGCTGATGGATTGCAATTTCTTAATGAAATAATACCCAAAATGGCAACAACAAAAATAAATAAGAAATGTCACAAATGGCACAAAACTCAGTGATACTTCCTTCTTGGTGGATAAAATACAGGAAAACAGTAACTAAACAAAATTTTTGAAAAATAGAACTTACGGAGCAACATAGTTCTTCACTAGATGGAAGTATATTCTCCAAAACTGTTTGTCCTTTAAAAACCGTGGACATAAAGCGTATCTGATCCTTGAAATCTCCTGCACAAATTTATCACAAAAAAGGTTGATAAACAAAGATGCTTATAAATCTACAGACAATTGTTATGACAGCCAGACCATGGATAGAGTTGTTAAACAGAAATATGAACATTAGTTATGAAGACTTTTGTGTAATTAAACAGTTCTAATATTTTTGTTGACAACGAACATGTAAGTTAAGTTTAAACAGCAATAACTGTAAGAAAATAATATTGTGAGTAAAGGCTAACAGCATAGGTCAGTGGGAAAGCACAATCAGGAGTGTTCAATGGGCGAATTTGGTCCAACTCAGAACTTACAAGAAACATTTAGAATCTGGTTGATAATGCTACGCAGTCAATGCATTTTGTCGTTTGGGCATTTATATACATACCACCCAATTCCTATGTATTTACAAATCTAACATCTAAGTGATATGCATGTAAATTTTCCTAACTAAATATGAACTTACATATGAATTAAGTGGCATATGAAAATTGCTACAGCTCATAAAAGTGAATAAGTTGCAACGCAATGTGTTGTCTTACACCGTGAATCCAACAATGCAGGGTTATAAAGTTTTCTAAATTAAGGCACATAAGATTATTTGATTATTTGAAGAGGCACAAATTGAATTTTTACTAAAAGAAACATCAAATTATGGGGCCTATTTAAATATACCAATTATACTTAAATCTGCACTTAGAAACCAAGGTCAAGGTAGTTGTGACATACTAAGTTCTTGGGAGAAAAAACAGGATGAAAAGCATTACTAAACTAGACATTTGGTTTGACATTACTTATGCAGACGTTAGCCTGGTACTCCTGGAAGAAGAATTTGAAAATCTTCTTCTATCATTCTTCTAATTCCTTCATACTAAACTGAGATGCAGCTTCAAAAGTAAACTGCTTAACAAGAAATTTCAATAGAAAAGTTGCTTGAATTAGTGAAAAGCCGTATATTATTATATGTCAAGGACCAAGAATCAGGGAATGGGAGTGATTAATGCTTACCATCAATAATTACATTAATGTTATTTTAATCAATGTTATTTCCTTTCAATAAATTAGTGCTAGAATTATGCTATTGTAATTTTCCTTTCCATAAGTATGGGTTATTGCCTATTCCATTCAAAGGTTGTTCGGCTATTTATTAGCTTGAGGCCAATAATGAAGATCATATGATAAGTATTATTTTCAATCTTGTGTTGATTGGAGGTTGTGGTTTTCTCAAATTAAACCAACTAAGGAGGCCGATGATCCTTCGAAGTATCCTACAATATTACCAACATAGGTAGAGCACGCAAGGACGATCCTTGTTCTCTACCCATTCACAAAGCCGCTACAAGGTCGCAAACTCGGGCACGTAACAACTTGGTATCAGAGTCAGGCATGTCCGACCACCGTCTCGAGCATGTGGAGAATGAGCTTGGCTCATTGGCTGCGGGCCAAAAGGAACTACAACAAACTATGAAAGCTAGTGAAGAACGTCTCTTGAAACATATGGAGACCATGTTTGCTCGTTTTTCTACGCGTGGTGGAGGACATGAGGATGATGTCGAGTCTTCACGCGGGTCCCATCATAGCCTTTCGGGAGGATGCTCTCTCGCACCTAAAATCACTAAGTTGGACTTTCCACACTATAATGGCATGGATGATCCAACCGGGTGGATTTGTCGAGTGGAGCAATTTTTTGAGTTCCAAGGCACAGAAGAGGCAGAAAAACTCCCCATGGCCAGTTATCACTTGGATGACAACGTCCAATTGTGGTATCAACGTTTCAAAAATCGGCGAGAAGGCGTAAATCGGGAAGTTTTCAAGTACGAATTGCATTTACGATATGGGTCTTAAAGGTACCAAAATTTCTTTGGGGATCTCACCAAGCTTAAACAAACAGGAAGCATCCGCGATTACCAAATGGACTTTGATCATTTGTTACATCGAGCTGGTGTCTGAAGAACAGCAAGTCGGGTGCTTTGTGAGTTGGTTAAAGGATGCAATACGAGTTGATGTGCAAGCATGTAATCCAATTTCAATGTCCGTCGCTATCGGTCTGGCACGACTTTATGAGTCTCTTATGTCTGACCAACGGAAGGGAGGGTACGTGGAACCTCCAAAGGCTCCATCCACCATGGGACATCCACTCTTACCCTCAGCATCTCTTACTCGAGCTCGTAACCCCACCATCAAGAGATTGAGTCCGACTGAGCTGCAAGAAAGGAGGATGCGCAGATTATGCTTCAATTGTGACGAAAAATTTTCCTCGGGCCATCGTTGCAAGAAGTTATTTTTAATAGAAGGAATTTTTCCTTCTATTGATGATCCGTTGGAGGAGACTACTGAAGAGGAGGAAGCGGAAGGAGAGATTCCCGAAATTAGTTTTCATGCTATTTCAGGAAATACAACACATCAGACCATACGTTTTTTTGAAAAAATTGGAGATTTTGGGGTTACCATATTGGTGGATTCCAGTAGCACTCATAACATTTTGAATTCAAAGTTAGCTACCAAAATGAGAATTTATCCTACAAAGAAAGGAGAATTCTCGGTTCAAGTGGCGGATGGAAATAAGATGAAAAGTGAAGGATTGTGTGAAAGCCTCCCTATTTTAGTGCAAAAGGTTTAATTTCACGTAGATTTTTACCTTTTACCAGTGGAAGGATGTGATGCTGTTTTCGAAACTCAATGGCTTAAAAAATTGGGTCCAATTATTTGGGAATTCAATAATCTATGGATGCGATTTTGGTGGGAGGGGAAAACAATAGAGTTACGTGGAACCAGATGGCCTAACAATAAAATCATGGTTGATCGTGATCTAGAGTTGCAACTGCGGAAACAAAAAAGAGCTTTTTTTATTACAATTCAATTCCTTAAAGTTGGGAGAGAAGCAAGGAGTTGCAGCAACCGATTTAATTCAAGATTTAATGGTTATTTTGAATCAGCATTCAACTATATTTCAAGAGATTCAAGGCGTGCCACCTCAACGATCTCAAGACCATAAAATTCCATGGGAAAATGGAGCTAATCCAATTTCAGTTAAGCCTTATCGGTATCCCCATTTCTTCAAGCCATTTTGGAAACTTGCACAAAAGGTGGAGAAATTGAAATTCTTGTTCATTGACAAAATCTTTCTCCTATCAAGGCCACATGGGAGAATCTGGCAGAATTGAAGACACGTTTTTTCCTTGAGGACAAGGAAAATTTTAAGGAGGGAAGAGTTGTCAGGGATCAAGAATCAGCGAATGGGAGTGATTAATGCTTACCATCAATAATTACATTAAATGAGATGGGAGTGATTCAATCATTACATTAAATGGGATGGGAGTGATTGATGCTTACCATCAATAATTACATTAAATGAGATGGGAGTGATTCAATCATTACATTAAATGGGATGGGAGTGATTGATGCTTACCATCAATAATTACATTAATGTTATTTTAATCAATGTTATTTCCTTTCAATAAATTAGTGCTAGAATTATGCTATTGTAATTTTTCTTTCCATAAGAATAGGTTATTGCATATTCAATCCAAAGGTTGTTCGGCTATTTATTAGCTTGAGACCAATAATGAAGGTCATTTGATAAGTATTATTTTGAATCTTGTGTTGATTGAAAGTTATGATTTTTCTCGAATTAAACCAACTAAGGAGGCCGAGGATCCCTCGAAGTATCCTACAATATTACCAACATAGGTAGAGCACGCAAGGACAATCCTTGTTCTCTACCCATTCACAAAACCGCTACAAGGTCGCAAACTCGAACACGTAACAACTTGGTATCACAGTCAGGCATGTCCGACCACCGTCTTGAGCATGTGGAGAATGAGCTTGGCTCATTGGTTGCGGGCCAAAAGGAACAACAACAAGCTATGAAAGCTAGTGAAGAACATCTCTTGAAACATATGGAGACCATGTTTGCTTGTTTGCTCGTTTTTCTACTCGTGGTGGAGGACATGAGGATGATGTCGAGTCTTCTCGCGTCACGCGGGCCCCGTCGTAGCCTTTCGGGAGGAGGCTCTCTCGCACCTAAAATCACTAAGTTGGACTTTCCACACTATAATGACATGGATGATCCAACCGAGTGGATTTGTCGAGTGGAACAATTTTTTGAGTTCCAAGGCACAGAAGAGGCGGAAAAACTCCCCATGGCCGGTTATCACTTGGATGACAACGCCCAATTGTGGTATCAACGTTTCAAAAATCAGCGAGAAGGCGTCAATTGGGAAGTTTTCAAGTACGAGTTGCATTTACGATATGGGCCTTCAAGGTACCAAAATTTCTTTGGGGATCTCACCAAGCTTAAACAAACAGGAAGCATCCGCGATTACCAAATGGAATTTGATCATTTGTTACATCAAGCTGGCCATTTTTTTGAAGAACAACAAGTCGGGTGCTTTGTGAGCGAGTTAAAGGATGCAATACGAGTTGATGTGCAAGCATGTAATCCAATTTCATTGTCCGCCGCTATCGGTCTGGCACCACTTTATGAGTCTCTTATGTCTGACCAACGGAAGGGAGGGTACGTGGAACCTCCAAAGGCTCCATCCACCATGGGACATCCACTCTTACCCTCAGCATCTCTTACTCGAGCTCGTAATGTAACCCTACCATCAAGAGATTGAGTCCGACTGAGTTGCAAGAAAGGAGGATGCGTGGATTATGCTTCAATTGTGACAAAATTTTTTCCCCGGGCCATCGTTGCAAGAAGTTTTCTTTAATAGAAGGAATTTTTCCTTCTATTGATGATCCGTTGGAGGAGACTACTGAAGAGGAGGAAGCGGAAGGAGAGATTCCCGAAATTAGTTTTCATGCTATTTCAGGAAATACAACACATCAGACCATACGTTTTTTTGAAAAAATTGGAGATTTTGGGGTTACCATATTGGTGGATTCCAGTAGCACTCATAACATTTTGAATTCAAAGTTAGCTACCAAAATGAGAATTTATCCTACAAAGAAAGGAGAATTCTCGGTTCAAGTGGCGGATGGAAATAAGATGAAAAGTGAAGGATTGTGTGAAAGCCTCCCTATTTTAGTGCAAAAGGTTTAATTTCACGTAGATTTTTACCTTTTACCAGTGGAAGGATGTGATGCTGTTTTCGAAACTCAATGGCTTAAAAAATTGGGTCCAATTATTTGGGAATTAGTCCAATTATTTGGAAATTCAATAATCTATGGATGCGATTTTGGTAGGAGGGGAAAACAATAAAGTTACGCGGAACCAGATGGCCTAACAATAAAATCTTGGTTGATCGTGATCTAGAGGTGCAATTGCGGAAACGAAAAAGAGTTTTTTTATTACAATTCAATTCCTTAAAGTTGGGAGAGAAGCAAGGAGTTGCAACAACCGATTTAAATCCAGATTTAATGGCTATTTTGAATCAACATTCAGCTATATTTCAAGAGATTCAAGGCATGCCACCTCAACGATCTCAAGACCATAAAATTCCGTGGGAAAATGGAGCTAATCCAATTTCAGTCAAGACTTATGGGTATCCCCATTTCTTCAAGTCATTTTGGAAACTTGCACGAAAGGTGGAGAAATTGAAGTTCTTGCTCATTGACAAAATCTTTCTCCTATCGAGGCCACATGGGAGAATCTGGCAAAATTGAAGACACGTTTTTCCCTTGAGGACAAGGAAAATTTTAAGGAGGGAAGAGTTGTCAGGGAGCAAGAATCAGCGAATGGGAGTGATTAATGCTTACCATTAATAATTACATTAAATGAGATGGGAGTGGTTCAATAATTATATTAAATGGGATGGGAGTGATTGATGTTTACCATTAATAATTACATTAATGTTATTTTAATCAATGTTATTTCCTTTCAATAAATTAGTGCTAGAATTATGTTATTGTAATTTTTTATTGTTATGCGATTGTAATTTTCCTTTTCATAAGAATGGGTTATTGCCTATTCAAACCAAAGGTTGTTCGGCTATTTATTAGCTTGAGGCCAATGACATTAAAAAAAAAATAGTTAGGGATGCTTAGGTTGCTCATTTTTTTCAAAGTGTATTCGAACACAAAGCTACAAAGAAAGGGAAAAGGGAACAAATAATTACAATAATAAATGTAAAGAACTCCCCTAACTATCCCAACATTTCATCAATTTAGGCAATGTGATTGGGTCCCAAACTCGATCACGTAATAGTCTACTGCGGCTTTCTCAAACCCTAGAACATTCAAGGGAGGAGAGAATAAGATTTAAGCAAAACGAACCGCACCGTGGCTTTGGTGAGAAGAAGTAGGGCGTGGCGCTCCTGCCACTCGCTAAGATCCTTACTCAGACTGCTCCCCGAAGTACCAACATCGCCATCCGCTGATGGATCATCTGAAGCAGCAGCGGAGAAAAGTGACATTGCCTCATCTGCATCTTAGATCTTCGGGAGATTGAAGAAATTACAAAATCGAGAAGCAATCGTTGAGATAGGGCGGACCTTTAAGAGGAAAATTTTTGAAGGTATCTACGGTGAAATCCTTCAGGAAAGCGAGGAGCTGCTGCGTCACACCAAATTCCTCGAGCTGGGCTACTTTCTCCTCCTCCTTGCGCGGCTTCCCGAGCTTAGACCCTCGCCCGAACGGCCATGGAAGCGCTATGGAGTTCATATTGCCCCCGTCCCCACTGATAGTAAATCCGAAAAAAACCTAAATCCTTGTTCACAGTCTACGTGTCTTTCTAGCGCGTTTGATTTGCTGAAAAATTAGAGTGTAAAATTAATGTAATGTAAAATTATAACTATGACGCATTTTAATTAAAATATTATAAAATTATTTAATTTGATATAAAATAAATGATTTTTTTTTGTTTAATTTGAAGTAAAATGAAAATATTATATTTCAAAATAATGCTCATGCCGACAGCAATAGCGGTCGCTAGCCAACATTCGGTGTGTGACTATGCAACGAACAACATTCAACAGGCGATAAACAACTTTTGGCGATGACAGGCAATGAGTGTAGTGTAGCGTTGATAGCGGTGTAAACGAGCCGAACACGAGCGAGCCCAAACTTAGCTAGTGTTCAGCTCGTTTATATTTTGAGCTCAATAAGCGTGTTCATGTTCGGCTCGTTTGTTTAGCGAACCGAACACAAACTGTTCACGAACAAAGTGTCATTTTGACAATTCTAATCACGTAGTCATAAGATGTTAAAAGTTGACGCAAGTTTTAAAAATTATTGTTTATATTAAAATATCATTTAAATTTAATTTAATAATTTTTATTCTATTTTCTTAGGTAATTGACACGCCACCAACAAATTTTCATTTTCATCAGTCATCACGAATCTCGATGCAATTTTTTGAACAAGAAACATTCAAACTTCGATTAAGAGTCATACAGAGTTTTGATTTCAGCAAACTTATAGTCAAATTGATCAGCACGATGAGACTGATCTAATGATATGAAAGTCAGTCTAATCCAAGTCAAATCAAGCCCAGATCAAATCATTAAACCACTCTTAGAGGATTTTCAGACACATTTGGACAGACACATTTGGAAGGTTCAGACACATTTGGAAGGTCAAACTGATGTTGAATCTTGTGATTTCATAGTCAAATCGAACATCTAGACAAGAAGATTCCAAGGAGCCCAAATTTGCTCAATTCCGACATCGTTAAGACACTCAAATGTCCATCATACATCATCTGATCAAGGGAAGCTCTCCGGACCATCCGATCAAAATAGTTCATATTTTTGCATTAATGACACCCATAACACTATAAATAGAGCCCCACATCTCACATGGGGGGAGGCTGAAGAGAGAACTTGAGGCTTTGAGAAGGAGCTCAGGTCCAACATCATCCCTGTCATCGTCAATCGTCATCGACCACCACTAACCGCTGACGACCACCGCCGACCTCTGTGTACCACCGCTGATCGCTGTCGATCACCGTCGACTGCCACCGATCACCGCTAACCTCCATCCACCACCGCTGACCTCAATCGACCATCGTTGACTAGACGTTATCAATCGACATTGTAACTTGGAAAGCTAGTAACCCTTTCTCGCATGTGGGACAAGGGACATCTGTAATCATCAACTTATAGTGGATTTTTGCAACTGGGTCAGGCCTCGTGGTTTTTCACTTTACGGGTTTTCCACGTAAAAACTTATGGTGTCATCACAGATTATTTCCCATTTATCTGAGTGTGTGATGAATCCTTGTGTAATGCTAAGACGATAATTCATTAATCTACCGCCGTAAATTTTCTAGCACGCATCAATTTGATGTCTTCTGTGGGAAAGTTTCAATCCCATTACTAAAGTACTTACGTGGTTTACTATATGACCATTAGACACAATGTTCGTGACAACAGAGCATCCAACTCTAACACCCATCGTTCCACGGAGCAATCACTAAGCATGGGCGACATGCTTCTTTATCTTCCCGCCCTGGAAGACTCTATCCCTCCAACGAAGGTGTTTCGGGTCCTTCAATAGAAGATCAAATGTGTAAAATGGAGGAGTCTCAACTAGAGAGCTCCTACGCAGGGCTCAACAGTCGCCACCTATACCACTGGATGAAATTCGTTTACCATTAACTCCGCGACATACGAGAAACATACTGCTCGGAGGAACTCATTCTGGCCCGACTCCTCAAGAAGGAACACATCCCCTGTCAAGTCGTGATGCTAAACTTCTAGATACCGCAAATTCCACTCATTCATCTCGTATAGCTCACCTGACATCGCCTCATCTTCCTGTCATTCCGGATAATATCATTCTTAACGAACTACGATGTCTCGTCTCGGAAGAGTTCCCCTTAGAAAAAAAGGATCGCTTCTAAGCCCACCGTAACATCTATGAATCTTCTCCCTTAGTGTATGCGGTCTTCCAACACCCCATCCCAACAGGCTTTAAGCTTCCGAAGATCGATACATATGAAGGTACAACCGACCCTTACGAGCATATTGATCATTATTGACCTATCATGCACATTCAGCGTGTCTCTGATGCGCTTCTATGTCAAGTGTTTCCGACAACTCTTAACGAACAAGCTCGAACATGGTTCTAATCTCTGTCATGGGGCATTGTAAACACCTTTAACGAGCTTTTCAAACTGTTCGCAAAGCAGTTCATCACAAATCGAATGATCATAAACGATTCATCCCATCTCTTGGGAATTCGTCAAAATGAATGAGAGTCGCTCAAGGACTACTTCCGCAGGTTTTCTGCTGAAGCCCATCAGATTCCTGGGGTGGATCCTGAGTTACTAAGGGGGGTTTTCCTTAGGGGGCTCTGCCCAGGACCTTTGTACTCATCACTGATGCGGGAGAAAGTTCGTTCTTATGTGCCCTTGTCCACCGGGTTGAGGCCCAAATCACTGCGGATGAGACCATCAACGCACATAAAGAGCAGTTTGAGAAATTTGGAGGAAAGCGCAAGAATAACACTAGAGATAATAATCAATCTTTGCAAAGAAGAAATTTTGAACAACAGAGGAATCGCGACCTCCTTTCTCAACCCGCAGGACAACGAAGTGAGTATCGAACTAAGAAAGAGTATACACGACTTACACATCATGTGCTAACGTCTTAATGGCTATCAAAGGAGCAAATCATTAAGTGGTCTCTCCCCCTAAAACCTAACTCAGGTAATCAAGAACAATATTGTCATTTTCATCGAAGTCGTGGCCACTCCATTGAAGTGTGTAAGTAGCTCAAGGAAGAGATTGAAAGGTTAATTAAACAATGATATCTTGGTCGATTTGTACAAAACAAACCAGCTGGTATTGATAATGCTCCTACTTGACAGCTGGTATTGATAATGCTCCTACTGGAGGGCAACATACACCAAGACAGCAACATGGGGGTCACCCAGTCATAGGCGAAATTCAAATAATTATTGGAGGCCCGTTGCTAATTAATCAAGTCCTTATCACTATACCTGGTGAACCAATGCAGAAGAAATTGCGCCTCGAGCCTATCACTTTTGATGATTTTGATTTGGAAGGAGTTCGAGTCCCCCACAAGATCCTCCCGTCATTAGCTCAGAAATTGGCGAGCCCTGTTATAACGTACAGAGAATCCTGATCGACAATGGGATCTCTGTCAATGTCTTGGGAGATTTTCCTCAATAGATAACCCACTCAGCCCAATTCATTGTTTTCAAATCAGAATCGACATATAATGCAATCTTCAGGAGACCACTGCAATCAATCTTTGACATCATAAATTATGTAACACACTTGAAGATTGAGTTTTCAAGCCCAACAAGGATCGACGTCGTGCGAGGTGATCAATAGAAAACACAATCATGGTACCTCAGAAAAGCTCAGCCATACCCGTCAATGACACTTAACATTGAAAGCTTCAATCTTTAAGATGAAAATGTATCTCAACGGGCTTCTCCCATGGAAGATTTGGTTCAAATCTCACTCTCTGACGAACATCCCTCGAGAACAGTGCAGCTTGGTTCCCTACTCTCCGATGAGCAAAGGTCGGAGTATGTGGAGTATGTAGACGGAGTATGTAGATCTTCTTCGAAAGAACCAAGACTTTTTGCATGGATTCAGGCCGACATGTCTAGAGTTGACCTAGAAATAATCATGCGCTCTTTAAAGGTAGACCCGACCATTAAACCGATCATCCAAAAGAAGCGTAATTTTGCCCCAGAACGCTTACAAGCTATTGAACAAAAAGTTAACAAGCTTCTTGAAGCAAAGTTCATACGAGAAGTACATCATCCTGCATGACTAGTCAATATCGTCACGGTGAAAAAAGCTAATGGTTCATGGAGAATGTGTGCCGACTATACAAACCTCAATAAAGTTTCCCCGAAGGATAGTTTTCCCCTCATGTGCATAGATCAACTCGTCGATCCCACACATGCTTCTTTATACTGTTATTAGGTTATGTTATTCAGGTTAAAAAATGTTGGTGCAACTTATCAACGACTCATGAACAATGTCTTCGAAAACCTTCTCGGGCGCACAATAGAGGTTTATGTTGATGACATGTTAGTAAAAAGTCTGGAAGCATCCCAACACATTTCTCATCTGGATGAGTGTTTCCAACTCCTTCATCAAAACAATTTACGACTTAACCCGATTAATGTGATTTTGAAGTCACATTGTTGGCATCAATTTTTGGATGTCATAGGTGTAAGTTGTCCACCTGCGATCGACGAAAGTTAGCTATCGCGTCGCGCACGAAATTGGCTAAAATTGACCCGTTCGTCGGCGAAGTTATCCAGAGGACCTCAGACGACGAAATGGACCACATGAGTGCGTCCGAAACGTCAATTTCATCTACGGAGGACGCTCATTTCACCACGATTTCATCGGGGTAAAAATGCAAAATTTATTATTTTGGACAAAATTGCTAAAAAACGGTTCAAATGACTCTGGATAACGAAATTGACCACACCGGTGCGTCCAAAACGTCAATTTTACCTAGGAGAGATGTTCATTTTGTCGTGATGACGTGTTCGGCGAAAATGTGCAGGGAGAAGTTAATTGAATAATAATTATTATTATATTATAATAATAATATTATTTTACAGGTTTTTAAAAAGGTTTTTTTTAAAAACCCCTCTTTCTCTCTCTCTCCAAAAAAAAAAAAAAACAGCCTCCCTCTCTCCTCCCTCTCTCCTCTATTCTCTCTCTCCCAAAACAAAATAAAAAAAACTGCTCCCTCTCAAAAAAAAAAAAAAAAAAAAAA